CTAATTTATGTTTTCATCTTTCAAGTAAATCCATAACCCCTAACAGCAGTGTCCAGTCAGGCAGGAAGTCAATGGGCATGGTAAAAGGGTGTGCCACTGACATGTCTGCTCAAAGAATTAGAAGGCCAGCCTGGCATGAATGCATGTCAGGCTGCCTGCCAATCATGCAGCTGGCCAACTAAGGGCATACTATGCAGACAGCACCCTGAGCTTGACATAAATGCATCTAATGATGCGCTCACTCAACGCTTTCTAAGGACTGTCCCCTAGCACTAGCTGGTCCACTTGTCTCCTTACGTTCTTACTAGCAGGCAGAAGCTCCTGGTATATGGTCTGGGACAGAGAAAAGCTGTATGTAGTGAGTGTAGAAGCACATTGTTAGAGAGACCAAAGTCAGCATTACCTTAAAGGATCACTATAGGGTCAGGAACACAAACATGAATTCATGACCCTATAGTGTTAACACCACCATCTAGCCCCCCTGGGCCCCTCATGCCTCCATAAATATAGCAAAATCTTACTATATTCAAGCCTGAAGCTGTAACTCTGCATGCTGTTAGACTCATAAAAACAAGCAGTCTGCTGACATCATTAGAAGTGGTGGCCTGATCCAATCACAGTGCTTCCCCATAGAATTGGCTGAGACTGACAAAGAGGCAGATCAGGGTCAGAGCCAGCATGATTCAAACACAGCCCTGGCCAATCAGCATCTCCTTATATAGATGAATTTAATGAATGAATCTGTATGAGGAAAGTTCAGTGTCTGCATGCAGAGGGAGGAGACACTGAATGTTTGGATGCATTTTAGGCAGCCATGACCCAGGAAGGATCTCTAACAGTCATCTAAGGAGTGGCCAGTGAAGTTATCACTATGATGTAATGTAAACACTGCATTTTCTCTGAAAAGACAGTGTTTACAGCAAAAAAACCTGACAGTAATGATTCTACTCACCAGAACAAATTCAATAAGCTGTAGTTGCTCTGGTGAATATAGTGTCCCTTTAACTATATTCATTGTCAGCCAGTCCACACAAGTTTTGTTCCCATATATCCCTCTTAAGTTTCCATACTTAAGTAAGAGTATGTGAAAAGTAGTTAGGGTTGCCACCTTTCTTGGAAAAACATACCGGCCTTGCTAATTTGCATAATTAAATATGTATGGGTGACATCACATGATGTAAATCACAAGGAGTGACATAAGAGAAAATGCTGTAAAATCACCAAAAAACTACTTAGTTTGATTCTGCTGTATAGATGGATTCCTCCCAGTGCCCCCATGTCTCCCAGTGCCCTCATGACTCAGTGCCCCCATGTGTCGATTACTCCAGGTCTCAGTGTTCCTATGTATCAGTGTCTCGATGCCCCATGTCTCCCAATGTCCCTTAGTGTCTCAGTGTCTGCCATAATGTCTCCCAATGTCCCTTAGTGTCTCAGTGTATGTCTTCTTGCAGCCTTTCCCCCATCCCTTACTTCCCTGAGCTGTAGGCTGTCTCTGCAGGGTGGGAGTTGCTGTCTGGACTCTCTGTAGCTGCATCCCTGCAGATCAGTGAGTATAGATAGGCAGGGAGGGATATGCTGGAACTTCCAATCCCTGCCTCTCTCCACACATAGTGACCCCTACTGGCCAGTGCTGGTATTGCAGAGTAATCTCTTGTTTATACTGAGAAAAATACCAGCATTTGTATTGCCAGTATCACTGCAATATTGGCACCAGCCAGGCAGCCTCAAATACTGGCTGTGCCAATAAAATAAAAGCCAGGTGGAATCCCTAAGAAAAATCAATGGGCCTATTCCATGGGCCTGGGCCTGGAGCTGCAGCTCCATCAGCCCCTATGTTAATCCGGCCCTGCGTGACCCATAGGTTGAGGAGGCAGTGACCGTGGCAGTGTAGGTGGAAGCGGCGGTGGAGGAGGATGAGGTAGCCAACACTGTTTTTTATTTGTTTGTTTGTTTTTTTTAATTGGGGTAGCCCCCAAAATATTGGAACATATAAAAAAAGAAACATTTGCAGCCTGGGGTGTATTTCTTGCAGTCCAATAACGCCATCAGGTTTTTAAAACTGTCCATCTCCACCAGACGGAATGACAGCAATTCAAAGGCCACAAATTTTGAAATGCTGGCATTCAGGGCCAGGGATCGGGGGTGGGTAGGAGAGTATTTCCTCTTTCTCTTCAGTGTTTGGGAGATGGACAGCTGAACGTTTCCATGGGACAGTATGGAGATGCTTGGGGATGGTGGTGGACGTGGTGGCGTTGCTGCCACATCCTCTGTTTGCGGGGTGGCAGGTGCCACTGTCACTCTAGAGGTGGAGGAAGAGGCTAAGACAGCAGCAGAAGAGGAAGCAGGAGGAGCCTGATACCTTTCTTGGTTTTTGAGGTGCTTACTCCACTGCAGCTCGTGCTTTCCATGTAGATGCCTGCTCATGCAGGTTGTGCTCAGGTTTAGAATGTTTATGCCTCACTTCAGGCTCTGATTGCACAGCGTGCAAACCACTCATGTCTTGTTATCAGCACATCGTCTGAAGAACTGCCACGCCAGGGAACTCCTTGGAGCTGGCTTTGGTGTGCTCGGTCCCTGGGTGCGGTGGGCAGTAGCAGGCATACTGTCTAGGGGACGGCTGCTCCGCTTTTGCACCCTGCTCCGTCTTATGCTGTGCTGGTGCCTCTGTGCGACCACCGCCTCTTCCTCCAAACTGAACACGTCACTCGCATGACCATGATTCCATGTGGGGTCTATGACCTCATCATCCTCCACATCATCTTCCACCCACTCCTCAACCCTGCCCTCCTTGCCGGTCTACCCACGGCAGAAAGCCACAGCAGTTGGCACCTGTGTTTCGTCATCATCAGAGACGTTTTGCGGTGGTCCTCGCATGTCCACATCCTGACACATAAGTGGTTGTGCATCAATGTACTAAATCTCTTCCACTTCTGGGGCAGAGCCAGGTGGATGGCCCACGGAAACCCCGTCAGCAGAGTCATCAAAAAGCATAAGAGACTGCTGCATGATTTGTGGCTCAGACTGCTTGGCTGATTTGCAAGGGGGTGAGGTGAAAGACAGATGGCCATGGGCTGCAGGTGCCAACTCTGAGCTTTCAGCAGGGGACTGGGTGGGAGACAATGTGAAGGAACTGGAGGCACTGTCAGCCACCCAATCTACTATCACCTGTACTTGTTCTGGCCTCACCATTCGTAGAGCGGCATTTGGGCCTACCAAATAACGCTGAAGGTTCGGTCGCGTACTCACACCTGAGGAAGGTGTTTCACCTGTGCGTGTAGCTGGCACAGATCTACCACGTCCTCTCCCTGCAACAAGAGCTCCACCAACACCAGCAGCACCACGACCAGGGCCATGTCCCTTATTTGACGCTCTCCTCATTCTTTTCGTTCACCCACCAAACTAACAGATGGTTTATGTCAGGCGACAATGTAACCGTCAATAGTCAACAATTTTTTTTTTAGTTTATTGGACTGCAAGAAATGCACTGCAGGCCACAAATGTACTATTTAACACCAAAAAAATTTTTATTTTTAAAACTGAGATGTAACCACAGTATTTGACAGTTCTATTTCACACTCAGCTATGAAGTGCACGCCACATATATACTTTTTAGCACCAAAAAAATGTGAATAAGTCAAACTGCAATGTCACAGCAGTATTTGACGGTTCTATTTGACTCTCAGATATGAAGTGCATGCCCCAAATATACTTTTTAGCACAAAAAAAAAATGAATTGGTCAAACTGCGATGTAACCACAGTATTTGACGGTTCTATTTGACTCTCAGATATGAAGTGCACCGCAGGCCGCAAATGTACTATTTAGCACAAAACAGTGGGATTTTTTTTTTTTAAAACCAACAATGTAACAGTAGTATTTAAGGGTTTTATTGGACTGCAAGAAATGCACTGCAGGCCGCAAATGTTCTATTTAGCACAAAAAAGTTAGATTTTTTTTTAAACCAACAATGTAACAGTAGTAACAGTATTATTTAAGGGTTTTATTAGACTGCAAAAATGCAGTACGCAAATGTACTATTTAGCACCAAAAGAATTGCAGTATTTAAAAATGCCTAGATGTTGCTCATTGAGCTACCAAAACAGGATTAAAGTAATGTGCCTGGCACACATGCAGTTGCAAGTGCACTGCACTCTCTGTGGCACTGGGCTCAGGGCAGGGTACAAAAATGTAGTATAGCACCCACAAAAATAATCGCAGTAGTTTGCAGATTCAACACCAGAATTCTTTCCTAATCTGTCCCTCACAGATGCAGCATCCTCTCCCTACACTAATAAGAGCTCATGTGACGTGCGGCGCTTATATATTAAGGCTGGGTCACATGCATTAGTAGGCATGGCTGTGATGGCTTCTAAAGGCACACAAGTCAAACGCTGGTTGATTGGCTGCTCTGCAGCCTTTCAAAATGCGCCATTAAATCGCCGAACACCGAACTCCAACCCGAACATACACTGGGTCCCGAAACCTTAATTTTCGGTACGTAATGTTCGGTTCACTCAACTCTAACCACATTTTAGCAATATTGCATATTTTTTATTTATGTATATTGTTTGCCAAGAATACAAAAAAATACACAGAACAGGATAGCATGGCATCATTATCTAAGGCAACACAGTACTGTGCTACACAAAACAATAATAGATGTTCAGCTAAATGATAATAGTGAAAATCACTGTATCACAAAAACTAACAAATTGTATATCAGCATAATTGATAATCAATTACACATATTAATATTCGGTGATTTTATCCCAGATCCTCCTACACTTTATGTGTTCCGTTTCATATACCACACAATACAATAACCACTAGACAGTAAAGTGTTTTGCATTATTCACAAAAAAACTGCCCTATCACCGATGATGTCATCAGCATTATAAGTTTTATTGCTCTAAAACACAAATATTTTTGGTTAGGAATAGGGTAGGGTTAGTGTTAGGCGTACCCTTAACCTACCCCTAACCCTACTCCTAACCCTACCATCAGGGCTGCCATCAGAAATGTTGGGGCCCCTGACAAAGTTCAAGGTCTGGGCCCCCAGTGCCCACTCACGAGTCCGCCCACAGGGCCATCCTTGAATCTGCCAACAAAGATGCATTATGTGTGTAGAGTGAATGCAGAGTCTGTGTGTGTAGTCAATGCAGTGTGTGTTTAGTGGATGCAGTGTGTGTAAAGTGGCCAAATTAGATCCGAATCTGTTGTAAGTCCCAGAATGCTTTGCTAGCTATGGATCTATAATTTGCAGGGCTGTATTTAGCACACAGCAGTGTATGTGTGTTTGAATATAAACATGGTTTTGAATGGAGTATGTGTGTATTTGAATGTTGGTGTTTGAATGCAAGCGTGCATATGTCTGTAGTATATAAACACACACACACCACACACACACCCTGACATACATGCAAATACACAGTTACACATATTGGCACATAGTTACACACACACATACACTCAGGTTCACACTGACACAGATACATAGACATACACACATATACACAGACACACTCAGGTGTAAACTGACACACAGATACAGACACATACACACACTGATACACACATGCACACACATAGGAGATACAGGCACATGCATTGACATACATGAAAATATACAGACACAGTTACACACACATACATTCACGTGCACACTAACACCCAGATACAGACACACAGATACACACTCAGGTACACACTCAGGTGCAATCTGGCACCCAAATATACACAGACACACACATAGATACACACACATGCACTCTGATACATACACACACATAGGACACATACAGACACACACTGACATACATGTAAATACACAGACACACAGATATACACACTGAAAGATACAGACACACACACACACACTCAGGTGCACATTGACAGATACATACAGACACACAAACAGATACACATAAAAACAAAATATAAATAAAATATATGTGTAAAAATGTAGAGAAACAATAATAAAGTAATCAATTCTATGGGCAGATTCACACCAAATAAACACAGCTTTAGTTGAGAATCTCAGAAAAAAAAGAAAGCGTGAGCGCTCCAGATAGATATATATAATAAAAAAAAATTTAAAAAAATGTATTGCACTAATTAAACAACACACTTTAAAAAAATAAATGCAAACGACAGAAAATGGGCCATGCACATAAAATATAAGACAGGCTATGCAAGATAAAAAAGTACACAACATGGGCAGTCTGTATATAAAGAGCAAAAAGCCAGGACAGGCAGCGTCAAATAGAAAAGATATACATTACAACAAAGTTATCAAAACAAACTAACAATCTGATTAAACATTTAAATAGAACCCCAACTAAAACTAAAATAAATGGGGCATATCAACTAAGTAGTGAAAATTATTGTGGACAAAAAGTGTACATAAAAATCAAACACAGTCACTAGAAAACCATGATCATAAAAGCTGCAGCACTGCTATAAAAAAAAAAAAATAATAATCAAAGAATAAAACAATAACAAAAACATACACTCAGGTGCACACTGCCAACCAGATACAAACAAACACATAGATACACACAATGATACATCCACAGATACAGACAGACACACACACTCAGGTACACATACATACTGACACACTTTTTTAACCACCCTCCTGGTTCTTACCTGCAGGAGGGTGGACTCTGCTGGCTGGGGATGATGTGGGTGTGAGTCTGACTCTGTCCTCCTCTTCACACTCGCCAGTGCTTCCTCCCACCCTCATGGTTCTTACCTTTAGGATGCAGGAGGGTGGACTCTGCTGGCTGGGGCTGATGCTAATGTGGGTGTGGGTGTGGGTGTGGGTCTGACTCTGTCCTCCTCTCCTCTTCACACTCCCCGGTGCTTCCTCCCGCGCGGGTGTTAGCTGGGAGGAAATGAGCTCACTTCCTCCCAGCAGTGCCACGATCCTTAAAGGGGCCCAGACTAGCTATTAAAAATCCACAGCACTGATCGGGCCCCTTTAGAGATATGCCCATCGGGTGGTCCTAAGTGCATGGGCCACCTGATGGGCCCCCTCAGATAGTTATGCCACTGCCAAAACACATACATATAGCGATAAACGCTATATATATGTATGCACATTGGGAATGGGGGGCCTGGGTGCCTGGGCCCCCCAGGACCGCCGGGCCCATGACAACAGTCATGGTTGTCACCCCATGATGGCGGCCCTGCCTACCATAACCCTTACCCTACTCCTAACCCTACCCCAATCTTAATCTAATCTTTATGTATGGACTGTGAAATTGTTTCTCAAAGTTAATTATTATAATTTTTTATTATTTATATAGCGCCAGCAGATTCCTAAGCACTGTACAAGAGAGGAGTCATATAAGGGGAGGAATGAAAACCCTCTAACAGGTTAAGTTATATGCTTTCCTGAAGAAGTGTGTTTTCAAAGACTTTTTGAAGGAGTTGAGACTGGGTGAAAGTCTAATGGAGAAGGGAAGGGAGTTCCACAGAAAAGGTGCAGCCCTGGAGAAGTCTTGGAGGCGGGGATCAGATATGGGTGTACGGACAGAGGATAGACGTAGGTCTTCGGCAGAGCACAGGGGCCTCGACGGAACATACTTGTGTAGTAGGGAGAATAGGTAGATTGGAGCAGCATTATGTAGGGATTTGTAAGCAAGCACCAGAATCGTAAATTGAGCCTAATATCTAACTGGAAGCCAATGTAGGGACTGACAGAGGGGGGAGATGTGGGAGGTGCAGACAGACAGGAAAATGAGCCTCGCCGCCGCATTCATTATAGATTGCAGCAGTGCAATCTGGGAACACATAAGACCACTGAGAAGGGGATTGCAGTAGTCAAGGCGAGAAAGAAACCATGGCATGGACCAGCACCTTAGCTGTGTCTGGTGTTCAATAGGGGCAGATGTGAGCTATGTTTTTGAGATGGAAGCAGCAGAATTTGGCGATCAACTGGACATGAGGGGTGAAGGAGAGGTAGACAAACTGAACTGGAAAAGTGATCCATGAGTACTCCCTAGACATCCCCAAGCCGATCCGTTAAGGACCAGACTGTGTATGCTGGCTTGTGGTTAGGGTGGAGCAGTGTAGCGGAATGAACGCTGTTAGATAATTTTTACTCAATTTTTTCGTCTTTCGTTACCACCCCCTGTTTGTCTACCGGACCCCCATCTGTGTGGTCCATGTGGTCACATCTTTTAACAATCAAACACCCCTGGCTGTTAACCATTGCTTGTCTCTACCTCTCCTCCTCCTTCCTTTTCTGAATGTATTGCTTGTCTGTGCCTCTCCCCCTCCCCCTTACTTTTTCTGTCACAGCAGGACGTTGTCCCTCTTCCATCCCCCCTCAGCTTCTTGGGATGGAAACCCCTGTTGTTTTGTGGTGGAGACCCCATGTAGGGGTCTGTACATGTAAAACCTTGTGTTTAACAAAATAAACAGAGGTCAGTTTGTGTTGTATTCCCAGAGCTGTGTGTCGTCCAGTTACTGGGGGGAAATGGATGCCTGCTTGTTGTAAGGGTTCCTGAGCAGCTGAAGGAAGGTATTAACGGAGGTAACTGGTCGAGTTACCCATGGTCCACTACAATCAAAGCTTTAAATTCCAGATCAGTTACTGAAACGATTGTACTAGTTTAGATAAAAGTTAGAACAGTGGGGGTGTTTTTTCAATTTCACAATTAAAAAAAATAAAATAAAAAAATGGTGGTCTAGTGAGCTTTCCCTCCTTCAGATCTCTGTTGTCCATCTCTTCTCCTCCATCAGAAATCTCCTTTCTCCACCGAATATCTCCTCCACTCCCTCTATACCTCCTCCCTTTTCCATCCATGATAAATTCCCACTAAACCACTGTACAGTATCCTCAGCTTCAGCATTAGAGATGTCTTCTTTCCACCACAAAGTCCTCCTCCCCATCCATGAGAGATTTCCCTTTGTTTCTCCTTCCATACTTGAGCTCATTCTTCCTGCTTATATTAGAGATATAAAGGGTCATTTACTTTAGTGAATTTGAAATTTAAAGTTACTCCAAGTCAGCCATGCTCCTAGTTCAGCAACTTTGGCCTTAAATGAGAATATATGGTTTTTCTAATTTTAGTAAATAATCTTGTCTGTCCTTCCACTTCATTCTTTTATAATTAGATATCTCCCAGTTTCCTCACCTTCCATTGAGATCTCTCCCATTCCCTCCACTCTCTTTAGAGATATCCCAATCCCACATTCTTATACCTCCCATTTCTTTAGAGATCTCACCCCTGTCCCGTCTTTCTTTTAAATACATTTAATGATGGATATAATTGTTAAAATGCAACATTTAGATATAAATACAGTCTCAACAACCCTTTAGCAGTTGATAATTCGGAATAATATTTATGCGACTGAAAATGTAATAATTTAATATATTATTCCTTTGTTATTCTTTCACCATCTGGCTGTCAATTAAGAAACAATCAGCAAGGCTTAACAAGCCAAAATATATAGATTTAGAAGTCACAAGTTTTCTTTAAAAAAACACATTATTTTATTAAAAATCTGATGGCGCTTTACTCTACATAAAATGTGTCTCCCACCATTGATTAAAATCTATTGCTCTGTTACATTTTAAGAGGCAATGCCCTTTAAAAAACTAAAAGGCAAAAACAGCTAGCAATTCAATAAAAATATGCTTGTATTGGAGAAGTTTAGAGGTTTTGCTGTGATCAGAAATGTATTTCAGAGGTTAAACATATAAGCTGTTCTTTTTACAGCTGCTACTTTAATAATGGTAGAATGTTGGGCATTCAATATAAGTTCACAATATAAGAACCAATTCCTTTTTCTTTTAGGCAGTGAGGCCATACTGACATTACCCAGATACAATTGCAACTACTATAGCAAAACAAAACCAATCTTTCACATCTACTGTAAGAATTATAAAAATACCCTATTTTGAACAAATACTTGTCTTGAGGCTCTGAGTTTAATGTTTGCACTGAGCCCCAGATTGCATTTTTCTCGACAATACTGGAGATAGTAGTCGACCTTATGTGGCTATTAAAAAGAAATGGATTTATGCTTTAAATGATTTACATTATTTATTCATTTTATCACAGTACCATGACCCTTTTAGTGCAAATGGACCCACAAAGAAGAGTCATTTCGTACAGGTTCCGTAAGAAAAGATCTAGAACTCTTTAAGATTCTATGTGCTGTCATTCGGCCATTCATAGAATTTATGAGATCTTCATGTTTATCGCTAAAGTAATCTTGGGTCTTAGAAGAATAGTAGCCTAATCTGATGATTTTTTTTTTTTTTAAAGGCTATTATACAACCTTCTTTTTCAATAGCACATTTCAACATTTTGATGAAAGATATAATGAAATGCCTACTTTTCACCAGACAGAAAGCATTTGTCCCCTGCTGTCACCTATAAAAGCTGGAGACATCTATATCAATCTTACACAGATATCCTGTTAATAAAAGAATTAATACAGGTTTCATTTTTTGTATGTGCTCATATTATTCGATTTGGATAAATACCTCTCTATCTTTCACTGAAGAGAAATAATGAAATTCCTACAAACTATCACCAGTCTTTGCGCTATTATCCATTTTATTAACTTTTATTAGTGAGTCGTTTCCATTGAAATGTATGCAGTCTTTACTTTTAACAGCTCCGTGGTTGGAATAATGAAGGCTATTAATTGGAATACCTGATGAGGCCTCAAGGACAATTTAATATGAAATAGAAAAAGAAGGGATAAGTGTGTTAACTTACACAACACATCTTGCAAATGGGTCCCACCGGATCCAGATGGTGACCAAAAATCAAAGAGAATAATAAAAAGGAGGATTTGCGCACTGCAAAAAGGGCAATCCTAATAAATTATTTATCATTCATAGGGGGGGAAAAAAGCTAAGGTTTCTGTTCTTGCTAAAAAAAAAAAAAAAAAAAAATTACAAAAAAACTTCCTGTAAAGATGTATCCATATATTTCTGATTGGTTATTGATAGGGTTCAACAGTTCTTTCTTTCTTTTGTTAGAGATCAGATTAAAATAATGTTTATCTAACCCCCAGATATACCAGGTGCTGCCGGTCGTGAATAATCCAAACTGAGAATGACTGTAATGATCTAATAAAACAACTCTAGCAATGCGTCTCTCATTTTTTTTTTAGAACAGGAAGTGGAGGAGAGAAAAGTAGATTTTTGTTATTATTATTATTATTATTATGTTATTTATATAGCGCCATCAAATTCGGCAGCGCATTACAATTATGTTATAATTTGCATAGCACTAATGAATGCTGGGAGCTGTACATAACAGATGTCTGTACAATTGGGCAGGACAAAAAGATGAATATCATGCCAGCCTCATCTAGTTTTTTGTTTGTTTTAACAATGGGAAATATTAGGCATAGCTCTTCTGGAGAAGCTCAGGAGATATATGAGGAGATTTATCAAGACAAAACAGGTGCTATTTGGGTGCAATATGTTGAGACATTCTATTGCCTCCATGGAGACAAGTCTTTATTTAGTACTCTCCCCCAGAAGGGCTCCTGTATTTTTGTGTAATGAGTGCAATAATAAAAGACCACCATGGTCTCTATCGAAGCTGAGCTATCGTTACTTTAAGAGACCAGCTGCCTTAGTAATGTGCAGAGCTCTATTATTTAGTTATGTCATGCCCGTTGATTTCCCCTCCTCCTTCAGGAGTTTTCCCCTCTTTTTCTTCTGGTAATTGCCCAGGTCCTGCCCGGCATAGCTATGGCCATTCAAGATACCCTGACTTCATATGTCCATTGGAGAGGTTGTGGGCCTAGTTGCTGATGTACAAGGTGCACAAGGAGCATCCTAGAGACTCAAAAGAGGCTACGGACCAAGAAATGTGCAGATTTAAGCTCCTCCTGAGAGGAAAAGGGTGAAAAAGAAAGGACATTTCACTTTTATGTACAATAAATTAAATGGCCGCTTATTTTGCCCAACTTCCATCATACCAGTTTATTGTATGCATAAAACAGCTTTAATACATTTTTTCTAGAAGTGATGTCAAATATTATATTACTACAGGTTACCATGGACTACAATGCACATAATGCT